CCTACCCGCCTGCCCGGGCTCTTACCTGACCTTTATTTCCTGCTTTTTCAACCTCAGCTGCCGTGGGAGGCACAGCTGCGGTTGAAAAAGCAGGAAAAAAGTGCTTTTTCAAACGCTGCTTCCCTGCACGCAGCGCTGCTCAGCTGTCCAGGCAGCAAGCAGACAAAGATTTACACGTGCATGCAGGGAAGCATATCGTAAATCACCGAACCGGTAATTAACCCTGTCGGATCCCACCCCTGGCTAAGACTGATCCAAAGAGGGAGGATAATCATTGCAAAATAGTTTTTCTTATTTATTTAAAAAAAATCAGTTTGCAGTTAAAGAATGGCTGATTGGTAATAGATTCTCCATTTAACATTTTCAGCTTAAAATATATTATTTCTTGTGTTATGCACAAAATGTCAAACATTCAAAGAGAAATCCAACTAACAGTTAAGTTGGGGGGGGGTTATTTCCTCCCTTGAATTGGTTTACTTTTTCAAAATAAAAAAGTGTTCTAAGTTATCAATAGGAACAATTTCCAATTATTTGTGCCATTTTTAAAAAACATTTTTTCTCTTTCTAATAGGGAAGCGAGCAAAGATCGTTTCTGGTACAATTTGCAATGGGGCAAGATACACCTTATTTGCAAAAAACAGCCAGCAGTGATATCCTTGAATGTGTGAATGGAATGAGACATTCTATCCTGCCTGGTGATAAAGTGATGGCCCCCTGGGAACCAGAGCGGAAGAGGTACGGGCCAGGAACTGTCCTCCAAGGCATGGAGACCAGAGAACCTCTGCGAGGTAAAATTGAAATTACCTTGCCATATACTTGGGGATAGCTTTAATAGAGACATGGTAGTCTAGGGATGGAACTCACAATCAGGAAGCTGTAGGTTCGATTCTAGGTATGGCTGATATTTCTGAGTGCAAGGGGAAAATAACTTCTGTGAACTCAGCATAGGTATTAGGAAGGGCATCCAACCAATAAATGCTCAGCTCCATTCAGTCACCCCAACTCCGCCCAAATACAAAGGATTATAGTGTCTTTAAAAGAAAAAAAAATACAGCTTTAGGCTGTGTTTGCCAATGGAAATAAAAATAGACTGGTGTTTCTCTTTTAAAAAGAAGAAAATCTTTATTAGGATATTGCGTTGAGATAGAAAGTTTAAAAACCTCATCTAGCTACATATGGATCTAGTCAAAGAATGAAAGACCATATAGTTCACTAGACCTCATGGAACCTAGAATGGTACCTACCAAAGAAGGGAGAAAAGATTTATGGAGGGAAAAGAGCAGGAACAGCAACTGGGTTAGCCATGAGCATACCAGTCTAACTGAAGAGGACATGTCAAAGAACGGAATCACTACACTAACTTTTACTCCAACTGTCTCCTGTGAGATTATATACACCCAAATTGATGTTCCAACCCCCTTCTCATAGGTGTGTGCACCTGTTCATGACTACTATCACTTCACATAAGTTTTTTCTCTTATGGTTAGTAGCTATGTTTGTGCTTTAGCATCTGGCATTTTCTCAGTGTCGTGCTGTGAGGAGGGTTTGGGTGTCCTCCTTCTTGACTTTTCAGTGACATCTCTTTGGATCTTCTGAAAACCTTACCCGTGACTCAACATCTATACTCCTGACGCAGATACCCTTTTCCTGTCATGGATCACAGTTTCCTCTTGTTGAGGCTGCTGCACTATCTCTTCTCCTGCTGGGAATTCTAAATTGATTTCCTAATTCTAAATTGATATCCTAATAACACGTTTTTTTATATTTCATTAAGTTGCATCACACTAGGTAATTTACCTGTTTCTGTGGCAGAATCAATTCTTCTACACATATTTACAAGAAATAGCTTGCAAAAGTCACTGTGGAGATTGCCTTGTGGATGGGTTTTTTCATGGATAATAAATAAGAGGCTCTAATTGAATTTGCTTTATTGACTTCAGAGTAGCAAGAGTGAACATTCACACATTGCTAAATGGTCCTTCATCAGCTCTGAAATATAGTTAGCATTTATGATTAGATCTTTGATATCATAGCCCTTTATAGCTTTTCTGAAAATATTCCTTTGCAGCAGGGGTGGGATTCAAATTTTTTAACAACTGGTTCTGTGGGCATGGCTAAGTTGGTGGGCGTGGTTTGGTGGTCATGTTAGTGGCTGGGCGTGGCCAACTCAATATCACTCACATCGAGGCACGCATCTCCTCGCCTGGCCTCTCATGACTGTGGGGATGCTGCAACAGTTGTAAGTGTGAAAAATGGTCATAAGTCACTTTTTTCAGTGCCATTGTAACTTTGAATGGTCACTCCACACAGGCAAAGTACCAGCAAAGGAGGGGAAAAAAACTCCAGAGAAGTTCCTGAGACAGGAAGTCTAGTCCTGCCAAGAATGTAATAAGGGTTAACGGAGAGGCAGTTTCTGTAAGCAACCCCAGAATGTTTCCTTCCTGCCTTCCTTACAGGATTAGGCCAGTAATTTCTTCTCTAACAACCGGTTCTCCGAACTGCTTAGAATGTTAACAACTGGTTCTAGCGAATAGGTGCGAACCTGTAGAGTCCCACCCCTGCCCACATGTAGACCATGCAGTATGTGGGAGCAGCTTTCTGCAGCCAAAGGCACATGCAGAAAGAAGTAAAAATAATAGAACCATGCGTATTGTTTAGCATTTTAAATAGTTCTGAATCTCTGCTCTACAAGGAGCTAGAAAGAGCTTTTTGATTGTGACAAGGGCCAGCCATTTATGATTCTATCTAGGCATCATTTGGTGAAATGGGAAAGCAGCTCGTTGCAAACTTGAAAAATAATTTTATGTCTGAACGAAAGACAAAAAAAAATGAATTGATCCAAATATGTACAACTCAGTGGTGGGATTCCATTTTTTTTACTACCGGTTCTGTGGGCGTGGCTTGGTGGCCGTGGCAGGGGAAGGATACTGTAAAATCTCCAGTCAGAGATGGGATTTGCCGGTTCTCCGAACTACTCAAAATTTCCACTACTGATTCTCCAGAACTGGTCAGAACCTGCTGAATACCACCTCTGGTACAACTGTATAACAACCTTTGAAAGTTTCATTTTTTCTTGGTATGTTTTGTTAAGTCTACATCTGGTGGAAAGTTGTATTGTAGTACTTGCTCTTCACAAAATGCCACCTAGGGAGAATATGGAGGCAGCTCTTTGCAGCCATCTGAGTGGGCATAAAGCATAATTAAAGATAGTGACTAAGCCAAAAAGCTCTGTTACTGAGCATATGTGTCCTCATCTCTTTCCCCCCACACTACATATTGCATTTTAACCGAGGTTTGAGGCTCACTCTGTCTGCTAAAATTGAAAGAGCTGCCAGTTTGGAATTGCAGTATTTGCAGAAATCAGATTTTGTAACATACACAGATTAATAGCCTTAATAGGGCTTTTTGACTTAGCATATTCCGCAAGTACAATTTAAATGAATTAGGTTCAGACTGGAATCTTTCTTTTGATTTCCCAGTTTTCTTCCCATTTGAAAAATGCATATGTTCTTCTATTTTTTTTTTTTCTTGGCATACTTTAAAATATTTTGAGATGGGATTTTAGATTTAATTTAATTTTTGTGAAATGATGGAGAATGCTGGAGTTTGGGGAATTTTTCATTACTCTGCCGTCCCCAAGGCAGCCAATTTTTGATGTGAAAAACCCATGAAAGACTTCATTGATGCCTTACCATGAGATGTGAAGCCAATAAGGCTGTAGTGTCGATGGAGAAGTTATTGTTCTGTGAAAATAAAATACACATCCTTTACCTACCTTGTGACTACATCTAATGCCAACACACCATCCGTCATGCTAAGTGAGAGGTTTTTTTCTCTTATCTGCTTAAAAAATCCTTTCTCACAAATAAAATGGAATAGTCAAGTATGAGGAAAAAAACACCTTGGTATAGCAACAAGGTCAATTGTTAAGAATACATGCTTGGCATTTTTAAACAAACATTTTATATATTCTTTTCAACAGAAAAAGAAGACGAGCAAATGACCATCAGTTTTTGGAATGGCAAGAAAGCCAAAGTTCCATTAGGTCTTGCTTTGTGGATTTCTCCAGTGCAGTGGGAGAGAATTGTAGAGAGGATCCATATGCCCTACACAAGCAGGAAGCAGTTTGAGGGGCAGCTTCACAGGCCTGGCTACTACAATTACTCGCATGGAACTATTCCAACTTGTGCTTTGGGTGATTTCCAAAGGTGCTGGTGCAAACGTTGCTGTTTTATCCGTCCTTGCTGTAGTGGTTTTCATCATACATGCTTATTGCCTAGGCCCAGGCAATGTGTCTCCTGTTGCTGCCGCTGCTGCTCTGAACACAGTGGTTGGTGGACACGACCCTCTTTAGCCAATTTAACCTCTGGAGATTTTGAAAAAGAATTCACTACTAAGCCTGCACCACCATTCTTAGCAATAGAAGCCTCTCCCGAAGCAGAACCTGCTGCTGTGGTGTCCAGTTCTTCCTCATCCTCCTCAGAGTCTCAATGTGAAAGGGAAAAAAGTAGGACTGAGAGCACAATGGTAGATCGTGCCGTGAACACAGATTCTAGTCTTTTTGAAAACCTCACCCTACAGGAAACCAGAAGACCAGAGTGGAAGTACTGGAAGAGAAACCAACCCACCTTCGTTTATAAAAGCCAAGGTACACAAGATCTCCCTTGATTGATCTCCAATAGATATCTTGAACCTGTTGGTTTTACATACAGGGTGAAAATCAGGCCACACAATGGGTTATTCAAATATCTCAACCCAACTATACTATGGCTTAGTGTGTTGTTTAAATCAAACTATCATTAACTTAGCCTTGATTTCTTAACATTATGTGTAAAACCCAGTCACTGTCTCATATGAGCGTATATTAATTAATGATGGTTCACTCTGCAAGTTGGCACAGATTTAGTATGTTAAACTTGTCTTTTGCCTTTATACAGATATTATAACGGGGTGGGGGGGGCATTGTTTGCATCTAACAGATGTTGTTTGATGCAATTTACTGTAGATCACATTGGCAAAAGATGCTTGGAAGTGCCATAAAGTATCATCTCAAAGATTGTGGATTCTCCAGACTTGGCCTGCAAACCAGAGACTTTTATAAATATTACAATGTTAATGGAAACGAAGTACTCAATTATAGACACTTTCATATCTAATTTCATCTTTGAGGAAGGGCAAATAACCACTTATACTAGCTTGGTTAGTTTTCAGGAATAACTTATTTGGAGGATAAGGAGTGATCAACCATGTATAACATCTAGTTTATGAGTCTACTTCAGCAGGAAAAAGACAAATATTTTTTATGATGATGGAGGGCACTTTTACATGGCAACTGTAAAGTGGTGACATTTTGTGCAGGAATTGGCAAAACTCATGCCACCCTAAGAAGTGTGCTGACTGGACTTTCAGTGCCTATTCAATAAAGAGAATAAGAATTTCATCTGATCCATAAGTGGAGGGAGGAGAGAACTGGGATGGGGGACCATTGCTTCTGGTGCTAGCTACTAGAAGAAGATCCATGGGGCTCCTGCTGCCAGTTCTCCAATCCCATGGAGTCCTTCTCCCCTGCTTCTCTTGCCCACTTCAGATTTCTTCTGCCAATCATGCTTAACAAGAGAAGCAGCAGTCAGGCAGCAAAGTGAGTTTTCTTTGTATTAGTTCTCCTGGCATCAAAAAGAGCTACATGCTCCATTTCCTTTCTCACTGGGGAAGGAAGAGGCTGGAAACAATTTTTCAGGCAGCATCCTAGTAATAAACCTGTAGAAGGCTTTACTGTGAGGGGACTGGCTATAGAAGCCCATGGTAAAGGCATTTCCCAGTGAATTTTGTCCCCATAGTTCTCCCACTGTTCAGTTCTCCTCTCCCACAGCTTAGCTTTTTCAACAGTGGAGGAAGAATGGGAAGGAAGGCACCTGTACTATTGTGGGGGGAAGAGCTTAAAGTTACTGCAGGGGCCCTGGCTGAAAAGCCATTTTCATCCCACTTCCCTTGCTCTCTGAGAGAAACCAGGATTAAGATGACCTTTTTCTGCCACTCTTGATTTGAAAAGAAAAATAGGGAAGCCAGAAATCTACTGCTAAAAGTAGGTAGCCCTGAAAAATCAACTGGCAAGGGTTGGGGGAGGGTGTGCAGTCTTAATTAACCAATAGGAGCAAGGCCACCCTCACCCCAATTTACCTTGGTAGGATGCACTTGAACCAGCATGGCTTGTTCTGGGAAAAGCTAAAAATGGCCCCTTAAAAGGCAAGTGCAGACAGCCATTTGATAGGTCAGAGGTGAGTTGAACACAATATCACCCATACACATCCTTTAAATCTTTATGCTGGGGGTTTGCTGACTCTCTGTTCACAATTGGAAGATAGCATTCCAGCCATGGCATATTTTTCTTTGCAAAAGCCGCTTCTGACCCTTTGACTAAGTTTGGAAGGAGCTCCATAGAACTGTCTTCAGCTGACAACTCAAAATTGATTTTCATTGCATTAGGAAAAGGATCCCAAAGCCAAACCATAGATAATGTTTCCAACAATGCAATCTGTAAGATGGCTGTTGTGATAATAGAGAGGTCAGTTTTCACCTTGCCTGTATACATGCAAAATACACAAAGTTAACAAATGCCAACAAATTTCCTACTGAAATCCAGAGGTATATTAAAGCAGGTCATTACTAGCTGGTTATATATTATCATGCTGTCAATAGTCCATGCTCCTACATATTTTGGAATGCATTCAGTATTTTAACTTTTTTGTGTTGTCTGTGATAAAGAGGTCTTTGGTATAGGCTGTTCTGCCAAAATTGCTTCTAAGAGTGTAGTATTAAACCAATTTTTCATTTCCCATTGTTTCACTGAAAATAGTCATTGAAGTCAACTTAACAATTTTTCGTTTCCCATGATTTAACTGAAAATAGTCACTGAAGTCAACTAACAAACAAAAGCCAAGTATTTATGTGCCTTGGTGGCACAGTGGTTAGAATGCAGTAGTGCAGGCTAATTTTGCTGACTCCCGACTGTCAGCAGTTTAGCATTCAATAAAATAAGGACCCGGAACGTTGGGGGCAAAATGCTGACTCTGTAAACTGCTTAGAGAGGGCTGTAAATCACTGTGAAGTGGTATATAAGTTTAAGTATTATTGCTATTTCTATTTCTAAGAGAATGCCACCAAGGGAACAATGTTACCGATAATTTTATTTCATGTTAATAACCAATCCAGTTAAAGCAGATTCATGGGGGGGATAACTATTTTTTCTAGGCATTATAGTACTTAAACAGAACTAGTAATTTGGCTGAGTTTACACATTATGCTAAATTACAAATCACATTAGGATTTTCAGGGCTCATCTACTGAGTCTTCCTCATGGGTCTCCGATATTCTGCTTGTGGATTTCTGACATTTTGTAGAGTCAAGTTTCTATTTCAACTTTTCAGTCTATAATTGTTATAATATCGTCTATAGGAGCCAACATTGTCAGTGGCAGCTGCAGAAAAGAAAGAGCTGGCAACAAAGCCATTTCATCCACAAATGGATTTCCACCAATTCTGTACAACCACAGTGCTATTTTTGAAACCATTGAACAGTCTTGTCAAAGGCATCTTTCAATGAAGAAAATCTTGAGCCATGGAATTACTAGCTCATCATGGGGAGGTTAATTATGTATAGAATTTCTGCTCCCTCTTTCTTTTAGAAATTGAAGATGGCACTAAACAGTAGCACTGTTTATAAGATTCTCTTAGCTATTTCATAAGTTCTTCTTGCCATACTACCAAAATCCTGGATAACACCAAAGTTAAGGTTATTTTGAAGGAACTGGTTTTTTAAAATTTGAGACTAGTCATGCCACAAAAAAGAATAAAAGGGAATCAGATCAATATGTTCTTAGCCAAAAGGCTTTGTACTAAGCATTTGATGCTGGTGAGTATAATGGATTTAGTCATTTCTCTTTAGCCAGAATGTACTGTTTGTTCTATCTACAGAGAAGCAAAATAAAATTACTTTTCCCTACTCTACTCCAAAAGTGCCAGAGTTTTAGGTGAACAAAACACAGAGCAGAATCAAATGTTTGTAAGAAAGCAATATCATTCTCACAATTTATTAGGTACAAGCAATCACATCGCACAAAAGTAAAAATACATTCATGATTCAAATTGCAGTAAATGTTAATCAAGTTCAAGCTATAACAGTTAAAAAGTAAGGTAGAGCAGAATACTCCAAAAGGGTAAATATATTAGGTATGAAAAGATGACACTTCAGACATTGAAATTGATTTTAATTGCCTTTAGAAGGAGATAAATTAAAAACCAGATTTACACTTTTTCCTGGCTGAACATTTACTAGATGTGCTTCTTTGATTGTGTCATCATATGAAGTTGTATTGATTATGTATGAGCCAGGTGACACGTCAATTAGGATCTCCTGCAATGAACAAAAAAAAAACAACCCTTTAATTTTAAAACACAAGAACAAACTTCTACATCAGGAGGATATTTTTCTTAACAAACAAATGAATTAAGTTTAGTAGCATTGTGTGAAAAAGAATTTACTCTACTGATCAATCTATCTGAGCTGAAATATATTATAGTTAAAATCTACTGGAGAAAGATAGTAACAGTTTATCAGAGATTAAGGCAGCAGCTGTCCTGGCAAGTACAGTGTTGAGTTTTCAGTCTCAAATCTATTATGTTATATTCCAATCCATTGTGTCACTGGGGTAACCATAAATATGACGTGTTTATTTCAAGAAATCTTTCAATCCATATACTTTATAGCATGATATTCAATACCTTGCAAGTAGACTTTTATTGAAACAATACAAGATTTCCTCCCTCTCTTCTCTTGATTTTGAAAGTTTGTCTTGGTGTGTGTGCATTTGTGTCTGTGCAATTATTGTATCTGCCATTTTGTGGACAGATATAAACTGGTAATGAACTATACAGAAAATGCAGAACGCAATAGCCTTAACAATCCAGCTCCCAGTAATTCTAGTCATAGGGATAAGCGGATGCTCCATCACTGGAGGTTTTCAAGAAAAGATTGGACAATCATTTTTCCAGGATGGCATAAGGACTTTTGCCTTGGGCAGGGAGTTGACCTCCAAGCTCCCTTCTAGCCGTTCTATGACTCTAGTCCGCATGCCTAATTGCAAGGAACATTAGAAAACATGACTTAGCAATATCCAGATGGCCATAGATTCCCCGTCCCCGTCATGCAACTTAATGCAACTTGATACTTGCTTCTGATACAGATGGCTGAGCTGGAATTAAAGCAGTTGGTTCAGTTAAAGTAATTTTGTGACGCTCAGGCTTTTCCACTCCTGGAACATTTTGCTTTTTCACTATTGGAGCATTTTTCTTTTCCTAGAGAGAACACATTATAGTTTTCAAGTCTGGAAGTGACTAAATTCAGGCTATATATCAGCCATCATCTTTCCCAAATCATAAATAACACTATGCAGCAGTAAATGCTAGAAGGTGTCAAGGACACCCATCAAGAATTGGGGACAAGCATAATTTTGCAAAAACAATGCACAGCAATATCTCTCTGACCTCCCTCATAATTTCTAAAGAAAAATGTGACGTTATATGACAGAAGGCCCAATGATTCATTCACCCAATTCTAGTTTTTAAAATCCTGGCTAAAGAGAATACATGGAAAGTTCCATTGCCCTTGAAAAAAAAACAATTCTACCTTTGTGGAAAGCAACATTCAGCACACTTACCTCATCTTCAAATGCTCTTAGCAAGTTTTGAGATGCTTCCCTGCTGTGGTAGCGAAAAATATGTTCAATTTCATTCTCATCAAACTGAAATGGTGGTATTGAACAGTAGTAATCCTAGAGGAAAGTTGTTGATGAAAAAGGGCTGAAACAACTTAAAGTATGTGTGGGGTTCAATGCAACCCTCCACATTCACCCCTCCATTTAAATCCATGTTGTTGTTTTAATGCTCGAAGGCAGACTTGTCCTACTGAGACCTGGTGACCAACAGTCCCCTTGGAAAATGCTCTGCTTCTACTTTCTGCCTTCAGAACAGCAAATGGAAAAGAAGCTTGTTTATTTATTTACCTAATTTATATGCCACCTATCTCGCCAAAGTGAATCTTAAACCAGAATTGCATCCTACTCTACAGTGCCGGATTATTCTTCTTGAAATGAGAATAATGATCCATTATCTCTGGTCTGTCTGTCTGTCTGTCTATCTATCTATCTATCTATCTATCTATCTATCTATCTATCTATCTATCTATCTATCTATCTATCATCTATCTATCTATCATCTTGAATACACATATATGCAGTTTAAATGCTGGAATGATGCAACAGATAGGAAATGCAATTAAAACCAGCTACATCAAGGCCTTAAAAATGCTTAAAGCGGGGCCTGAAACTGTATGGGCAGCAACTGTTAAACTTTTCTGAAAGCAAAGTGAATAGGATACCAAAACTAAACAAAGGTTCTAGGCTCTTGTATCTCACATGAAATAATATATAATGCAAAATAAAATATATTTATATCCTGCATTTTCTTCCAAGCAATGAATTTTCTAATACAGCTAGTAGAAGTTTGTCCCCAAGAAAAGATTGTGGTATTTTATTTCACAAGTGATAGTTTAACATAATACATCCTGATTTTCTGAGAAATTAAAGTAATTGTAATTGTTAATTGGATGGGATTGTAGTTGCTCGTATTAGATTCTCAAAGGGTTGAGTCAAGAGCACCAGTCTTTTCAGCATACAGTAAGTCAGAAATCTGTTCTGAAGGGTTGAATAATGTTTGGGACAAGGTGGAAGATGCTACAGAGGCTAGAGGTGAAATAATTAAAAACAACTTTTGCCTTCCCTCTTTCAAGGGCCTCTCCTGGGTCTCAGCCTTTTCTGTGAATGGGAACACAGACTAAGCTTTCACTAAGAAAAAGACAAGCCTAAATTTAGCCCACAGAAAAACCCATCACCCTTTTATGTCAGAATTGCATTTTGCCTCCTTATAGAACTGGTTACCTCACAAACTGCACAGATACAGGCCAAGTGTTCAGCAACTGCAGCAAAAGCAACTTCAAGAGGAACATCAACCTCTCCCTATGGTCAAAAACAAAATGTTACTATAAAATGTACATGCAGACACACATGATGAAAAGAAAAAAAATAACATATTATGAATCAGAAACAGTCTTCCAAAATATGAGGCCAACTACATATGGCTTGATACTCTTGGCACATCATTAATATACAGTCTCCTTTGAAATGCTATTCAGTGTTTCATCTTGTCACTTTGTCAGGTTTATATACAGAAATTGATACACTAAGCATCTGTTTTATTGAAGTTTTTTTGCTTCATCTAAACCCCGTCCTTAGCTATATGGCCAAAATGATATGATTATTATCCCCCAAATGAAAAGGTATCCTATGCAGCCATCGTATACCCCTAGCTCTTGAAGCAAATGTAAAAATCCACACAAAATGTTTTAAGTCAGAAATAGTATTCATTTCTATTCGTTGAAATATTTTAGCTGCTTCTATCTTATGACACTTTTTAAGCCAAAACAAACCACTAACATTGCTTGCTATGAGACATACAATTTTATTTCTTTATATAAGAAAAGATCCAATCTGGTCTAGTAGTTAAAAGCATCAGACTAGAAGCAAGGAGACTGTGAGTTCCAGTCCTGCTATAGCTCCAAACCAACTGGGTGACTCTGAGTCTATCACTCTCTCTCAGCCCAACCCATCTCAGTTGTGGGGAAAATAGGAGGAGGGTGGAGTATTATATAGGTTTGCTGCTTTGAGTTGTTTATAAAAAATAATAAAGGTGAGATATCAATCAATCAAACCAACAAACCAAAACCTTTGTCTGCAGGGTAAAGAACTGGAATCCTGGTACAAACTCTAAGGCTTATTGGTTAAAACCAACCAACCCTTACCCGAAAGGTCCTACTTTGGTGATGAGAAGGATGGCACCAGTACAATTTCCGTTTTTTTGCTCGCTCCAGAACTTGCCGAGAAAGTGTTGCTGTACGCTGCATGCGATGGTTCACATGTAGTGACTGGGATGATGCCATTCCTTGAATTCAAGCCTTAAAAACCCAGAAAAGTTGCTCAGTCAAGAACAGCAGTGCTGGAGAAAAGACTAGGAGACAAGGGAGAACTGTATTGGCTAGCTAGCCAACTCTCTGACTCCTTCTCTCCTTCCACCAGTTTTCCAGCATAAATGTTATTCTACCTCACTTGCAAGGGTATCTTTCCCAAACCTTCATTTCCCATCTTCAAACTCTTTGCTCAAGCCAGCCTTCTCTCAATACGAGTACTTTTCTTTAACAAAAGATTACAAAGTTATCAAGGCAAGAAGAAAAAGTCACTCTTCAAACACACAAAATTCATTATGAATTCTCAAAAATGTTGGCACAAAAATGACCAGGTTTGGGACTTGCTGAAGCCTGCTGGTTTATACTTTCTTCTGGTTTAACCTGGTTAAAAAGCTGGTTTAACTTTTCTTCACCATTCCTGTTTGCTCACCTTCTTTTCCTGCATATGAAGGGAGAACCACGCTGACAAGAAAAGTTGTATCTGCCACTTGGCCTCTCCCTACAGCTAAGTAAATCAGTTAAAGCCATGAGGAAAAGAGCTACTGACAGTTCAAGGCTACTGTATATTTTTGCTACTTGATATAAACCAGCTGTGATTCAAAGACACAGCTCCCTAGGACTCCCATTTTCAATTAACCACATTTTAATATTATTTCTGATCTCTAAACTGAGCCCTAATTAATTAGGTGTAATTAATACTCTATCAAGACAGGATCAAAACACCAAGCTGCTGTTTCTATCATCTTCGGCCTTTCTTGATAATGTAAATATAATACAGTTTGCATTTTATCACTGCATGTATAATACTGCCAGCCAACAACAGTGCTTGATAACCTGTGATTTATTGCATAAGTCAACCATGATTTATTTGGTAAGCCATAACTGAAAGAAGCCTTGGCTTAGTTTGTACATCTGAATCAGGCCTGAAAAGGAGCAGAATTAACTGTTAATCTAACTTGAAATATATTCCAGCTTTAAACCTTTGCTTTAGGTTTTGACCCTAAGTACATTTTGCTCGGAAGCACCATTAAAATCAGGAAAATACGTTTCTCAGATACGTATCATGTTACACTTTTTTCCACATCATATCTTCCAGAAGAGATGCCTTTGTTACCAGTTTTGACTTTGGGTTACTACGTGTAACCAATACATTACAGTGCTAGAATTGAAAAAAAAGTTACAGCGCAAATTACAGTTGTGAGTTCAGCTGAATTTATCAAAAGAATACACTGAAACTCTTGTCTCCTTTGTGGCGTCAGTAGACACCTAAGCCTTGTGCCGGTTATTTTGAAAAGTGACTTAAGTTCTACAAATGTAGGGCTGGGTAGGAGCTTGTATGTTTAGACCAGGGGTGTCAAATTCAAGGCCCGCGGGCTGGAACTGCATGCAGCCCTGCCAAGCTCCGTTTTCACCGGCAGAGGGGCTGTTGCAGCTGAAAATGGAGCTCGGGAGCCCATTTTCACTGGCAGAGTGCTTGGGTTGCCACAGGTAGCCCCGACGTCGTCCCCCCGACATAAGTGACGTCAAGCTAGCCACATCCACCCTGGCCATGCCCGCTCCCAAGGTCAAGCACAACCCTCTGTGAAATTGAGTTTGACACCCCTGGGTTAGATAGTTCCATGCAGACATTATAACGCAACTGTTGGAAGTTTACAAGAATGCCATTTTGATGTCCTCATTACCCAGAAAAAGAATGCAGCTAGTTCTTACCGTTATTAAAAAAACTGCCAATAAACCTATCCTAAGAGTCAGTCTTTCCGGGAAACCCAACATACAAAAATGCTACAGTGTTGGATAGATGGATAGATGGATGGATGGATGGATGGATGGATGGATGGATAGATGGATAGATAGATGGATAGATGGATAGATAGATGGATAGATATAGATAGATGGATAGAGATGGATAGAGATAGATAGATAGATAGATAGATAGATAGATAGATAGATAGATAGATAGATAGATAGATAGATAGGCAGGCAGGCAGGCAGGCAGGCAGGCAGGCAGGCAGGCAGAATTCTTTCTTGGCCAAGTGTGATTGGACACACAAGGAATTCGTCTTGGTGCATATGCTCTCAGTGTACATAAAATAAAAGATACATTTGTCAAGAATCAGAAGGTACAACACTTAATAATAGTTATAGCGTACAATAAGCAATCAATTATGGGAAGCAACCAAATTGGATTGGCAAACTTCTCCTAACCTAGGAACGGCTTTCTTCATTGTAGAGGGTCCAGATAAGCAATTTCCCACCCCCAAGCTAATTACTGTTGGCTAGTTGTAACACAACTAAAGGACGCTAAAATGGGGCGAAGGTCGAACAGACTCTTATTCAAGGACCTTCGCTCAAAAAGCACACATGCGCCATCTGCTGGCAGCTTTAGGAACTTACCGCCCCAGAAGACGACAGCGCTCGACAGAAGCAACAGCAAAGCCAAAGGAACGGAAATGAGGGAATAGAGCGCTTATCTCCTCCACAAAAGCCACTTTTCCCAGGATAGGCTTGCTTGTCCTTTCAAGTGACAAACCAGTGAATAAGAACTACGCGACGTCACCAAGGACGGCTACAAGAAAACGGCTAATTGCCTCAAAAATTCTAACCGGAGCCAGCGGCTACTTGTAGCCGCGGCCCTGGCGTGGAGGGAGGGGCGTCGCTTTGGCGGAACAGCCATTCGTGGCGTCAGGGTCCGCCCTTCTTCCTTTCGGAAGCTGCTTGGCAAGGTGGTGAAAGTATAGCAAAGTAATAGCTGCTTTACGGTCTCGGGGATCACTTCTACTTTTTTGAATTCAGGGCATTGGCCCGCGTGATCGACAGGGCAAGAGCCAAACGCGATCCCCGAGTGCTACTATTTATATCAGAGGGGCTTCGGGCTGGAGATGCAGAGACGGGACTTACCTGTTGGATGCCGTAGTAGTAGATAACTTAGGAAGCCACGTGTTTAGGATTGAGGTCTTGAATTGGTTCGGAGGAATGATGGCCAGGCCGGAATAACCGATGCAACCCTTTGCAACGCTCTGGTTAGACTAATACGACAGCCTCGCCTTTACGATGCTATTCGGTGCATATTTAAGGCGGGGGTGATGTGTCCTTGCTCGTTCACTTAGTAGTGAGCACGTGTTCCTGCCGCTTCCTTGCCATCCTCCAAAAAGCAGGGAGGGAGCGGAGAAACGTCCCTCCGGCAATAAACCGAAAAGCCTTATAAGTTCATTCGGGAAGAAGCCCAAAGAAAAGGAGGGACAATCATTACAAGCCTTTCCTGTCAGTTCCTGAGGTGTGTTAGTGTCAAAAAAATAGCTACTACACATCTGGACGTGCTTTCTAAAGAGCCAATGCCCCGGAGAGAATTCGTTTAAATATTGGACTGTTAGGTTCAACACTAGGCACTTCTAAGCAAGTATGTTGTAAAATGGGTGCTTAACAGAATTGCTGTCTGTCCCCTTTAATTATTAAATGGTAAGTTTAATACGTGAGGCTGCAAAACCCGTTGGACCACTAGATGGCAGAAAGATACAAAAAATTAATATCTTTTTGCCATCTGTTGGTGGAGTTTTTGAACCCGGGTGCTGTACTCTAAAATGTCATCTGCAAATGGTGACATTTAGCACTGTAGGGTAATTTGGTGGGAGGCTTAGCAACGTGGGAGCTCAGTTCTCATGTTAAATCATTCTTTCTACTAAGGCTGTCTGCCCGAACAAGTTAAGTCATCGTCTACAAACCACAATTGTTGGGTCCACAGAATTTGTCCTGCCAAAAAACATTTGAGCTTAGCCTGATGAATTTATATTATACTATTTGCTTTAACCTCACCAGATATTTTTTTTAATGTTGGCTTTGGGATGAGAGCTAATTTAAACAATTTCCCCATGGACTCTGGCTATGTTCACATATCTTCATTCTTGGCTTTTAGCTTAGTGTGTTCTAGCCCAGTTGTTTATTTAGTAAACTAAGAGGCATGAGAGTCAGTGTGATGCTGGGCTGGCACTAGGCACTTCTGATCCACCCATAGTTACATAGAAGCTCACTGGATCATTTTAGCAAGTCACTCTCTTTGTCTCTACCCAGTCTACCTAGGATGATGATGGAGGAAAAGTGGAATGGGGAGTGTTAATGTATTACCTTGAAACAAAAAGTTGGGATACAGATCTAATAAGCCAAAACTTAGGTTAAGTATGTCCAGCTGTGGCAACTTTAAGACCTATAGATTTCAACTCCCAAAATTCCCCAACCAATCATGCTGGCTGAGGAATTATGTGAGTTGAAGTCCACAGGTCTTACAGTTGCCAAAAGTTGGACACCCTTGACTTAGGGTGGTCAAGTAAAGCTTAATTCTCTCTTTTACTATCTGTTTGGTTTTTGTGTTGGGATTTTCTTTCTTTGTGGTTTCCTTCAGCCAAAAGCCAAAAAAGATTATCTATTTGCATTTGGGTAGAGAGGAAAGAAATATATGAAAATAATTAAGCAATATTTTTGGCAAATAGAACATTGGTCAGGATCACTCTGGAATATGACATTGTCATCCCTTATTCTGAAAAGGTGGTTATACTCTTTTCCTTATTAATTCTGGATCTTTTAGAATTTATTTCTTTACATCCCATCTTTATTATTTTCATAAATAACTCAAGGCAGTGAACATATCCAACATATATTCTTCCTCCTATTTTCCCCATTGCAACAGCCCTGTGAGGTGGGTTGCTGAATTTGCTGGCCTGATTTATCCCTGCCAGAGTATAAAAGTCCAGGCTATTTGGCTGCTCCCCGCTTCTGTAGATGAGACAGGTGTCAGGTATAGACTTCCCTTTGGATTTTAGGACCTAAGAATGGAACTGCACTTGAAAGGCTGAAACCTGTCACCATAAAGCATTTAAGAGAACACAAGATTAATTTGTTAGCTGTTCTGTTGTAAGGATTTTAAAGATTTGCTTAGAACTTTAGCCACAACCAGGGTCAAAACCAGTTAATTTCTTTCCTTAATCTCAAATTGACACCCCCACCCTCAACCTGAGACAAAGTCGCCCTATAAGCCCATCTAAACCAAAGCATAGAAGCCTCCTCACCAATTCACAGCGTAGCCCAGGAACAGCCCTAACAAGGGAGCTGCAACTTAGAGAAAGCCCAACCTTCCATCTTTTTATTAGTTGATAATCTCAGGATTCCATCTCCTTAACAACTATGTTCCTCAGCTTTGCTGTCCTCCTGGAAGGTCCGTTATGTCTAACAATAGAACTCACCTCCCCAAATTGGCCAGCAAGTCAGATCTCTAGGACAGGGGTCGTCAACCTCTTGGACCTCAGGGACCATCAAACTCATAATTTTAAATCCCAGGGACCACTAACCGGTTCTATGGGCATGGCCTAATTTGTGGGTGTAGCTTGGTCATGTGACTGGCTGGGCATGGCTTGTATGTAAATGTTATAAATATTTATATAAATATTGAATTTTTTATAAAAAAAGAGCAACTTTTACCCAAAATCATACAAAACAGGCAGGCAGATTGAATTGCTCACAGAATCACAGATTTATTCAGATACCTATCTGCCATCGGCTAGCTCAGTCTGTCACATAAAATTTGCTTGCCGTGAGTCTGCATTGAATAATAGAACCTTCAGTCCTAAGGGAGGTTTGGCTGTGCTTAAAAGCAGAGCCGAAGATCTAAAGACTAGCTAGAAAGCAAGAAATCCAACCATTTCCTACTTCCTAGCTAATCTAAATCTCACAGCTGATGGTCGGAAAAATAGCAATTTAGCAGGTAAGTTTGCCAGGTAAGGAGTGAGTGGGTGGGGAGGGTTCCTGCGGGCTGTGTGGGTGGCTCAGCCTTGTGTTTCTGCGCAGCCTGAATTAATTGCTTTGGGGGGTGCTCTGGGGGTAAGATTTCTCACCGCCCACTGGTTGGCGACCGCTGCTCTAGGATTTCCCACCTTGTAGCTCTTGACCTTCAATAATAATCTTTGCTTTCCCCTTATTTTGAGTTCTTTCTTGTAAAACAGGTGCCCAAGGATCCCTGTAATAAACATGGTTCTTTTCAGTGTTGTGCTCTTTCAAACCAAATCTGTTACGAACTAAGCAAACGCGTTCGTTTAAAATCCAAATACTTTTA